CCCCAAAACCCCAAAACCCCAAAACCCCAAAACCCCAAAACCCCAAAACCCCAAAACCCCAAAACCCCAAGCCAGTTTTATAATATTGAACTTATCATAATTCAGCATATCTGCCAAATATGATATTCTTAGCTCTCTTAGTCTTGTACTCTGCTGAATTGGGATTGAGATCATTAATATCATCATCGTCGTCCTCAATATTCATCGAAATTTTTAGGATCTTCTGCTTAATGATGCTCGGGAGTTGCTTAATGAGGTTTTTCTTACAGAATTTCTCATACTTCGCTAACATCCTTGCAAACGTCATAAATTTAGCTAAAGAATTACACACTAAGCTTACCGTTCTTAATAAAGGGCTTTATAGTTATCCTCAAGTTCTTGGTGTTGAGCCATGAGCTTTCAGAATGCTTGTAGGTCAGAACCACACAAATCTCATTTATACTGAAATATCTGAAGAAGACAGGAAGAGCAGTGCTCTTCTCCTTCTTTTCTCTCGACTTAATATTTCTGACTGTCTTAAATGGCTTGGCTATAGCGCTTCCCAGATCTCCTAGGATAGTCTTCTTGGGCTTTTTCTCAGTCTCTCTAGGAGTCATCTGGGCTAACCTCCTCTCCATATCCCTAAAAGCTTGGGTTGTAGACTCCATTATAGCATCTTCATCACTAGATTCACCACTAAGCTCATCTATCGAGCTGTCATACATATTCTTCTGCTCTTCTGGATTATAAGTAACGATGCCAGGTGTGCCAGAAGAGTCAGCAGAGAACTCGAGTCTCTCGTCAAAATTTTGGTAAGACTTCATCTCCTCTATAGACTCAAGGTTGTTCATATCCCTGCTTGGCATCAACATGTTGATCTTCTTATCGTCCTGCATTGAATGGTTTTCGGCTCGCTTCTTTTTCTCCTCTTTATACAGTAAGAACTTCTGGATTTTCCTGTAGAAATTTCTTGTAAGTTTGACAGTCATGGTGTCCAGGAAGATCTCAAACTGGTCAAAAACCTTCCATTGTGCCTTCTTAACCACGACTAGCTTATCTCTGATGCGGATTTTGAGCATGTGGATTATGTTCTCTCTGCGGCTCTCGACTAAGCCTGGGAAGAGTACCCAGCGGTATTCGTCAGTCTTCTCATCCATCTCATTCTGAATTAGGAGTTTCTTGAAGTCCACATCAAACTTAGTCTCCTTGCTGTTGTAGACAAGGAAGCTAGCATTAAGCCCATCAAGATCGACATTGGAGAACTTCTTGTTATCATCAAAGAGCTCGAGGCATCCCTTATTGATATCTATTAGGATCTTTTTATCAACAATGGGTCTATTGGCCATTTCGTTGCTCCTGGTCATCCTCTGAAGTTTCTCTTGGATCATTTCTCTAAGACGGTCAATTTTGATCTCTTTGAGTTCTGCCTCGCATAGTTCCTCCTTTTGGATCTTCTCGAGCGATTCCTCACCAGTGGCGAACAGTATGGACTTCAGTACAAAAACCAGGTGCCACCAATTGGTTGGAGAGAAGGTGCTGAGCGAGTTTTGGATCTTTATCTCAATAGTCAGCAAAGGCCTTGTGAAGGAACTAAAGTCTTTATTGGATAAATCAAAGTTTAGTGTGAATTTTTCAATTTCCATGATCTTTCTAAGAAGGTTCTCCATGCCTATATTATCGCCGGATTCAGTCCCTTCTCCATGCATCTGGGCTTCGTTCATGTTCAGCCAAAAAGTAGGGTTGATAATGTCAATATCAGTTGGAGCTACATAAGCTCTCATTTTCTTCAAGAAATAGCGTATCTGTTTCTTGATAGAATGCTTTTTCCTCGGATTTGTCGGATCTTTGAATGTGTAGTTAAAGAAGTGTACTTTCATCATCCCTTCACCAAAGATCAGCAACTGGGAATTACTAAGCTCATTTTGGAAGTTGAACTGGGGGTCCACCACATCAAGGACCATAAACAACTCCTTCTTGATGTGAGGAGCATTCTCGAATGAGTTTTCTTTATTTTCAATGTCAAGATCATTAAGCAGATCAGCTATAAATTTATTCCCCTTCTTGGCTTGAGCCTTTTTCAACTTCTTGTAACTTTTATACTGTGAGAAGGGATCATAGTTGTTCTTGTTAGAGACTCTTATACGTACTCAGACTTCTTTAATTCTTCCAGATTGAATGTTTCAAAGAAGTGGTGGTAGAACAGATACTCGATATTTAGAGTGTAAAGCAACCTAAGACCAATGACAGTAATGTTGTGAGTCACCTTGACATTCTCACTCGTGTCAAACTCTGAATTGCTTGATTTACCGATATCTGAGATGTTCCCTGAGAGGTCTAGGAAGTCCTGCATCTCAATTTCATCATTTTTCTTATACTTTGCGAGGAGAACCACAGCTATGGTATCTTTATTTGAGAAGACAAAGTCTTCATAATCTGTAAACTCTTCTTGTTGTTTGAGGTTGTAATACGTCTGATGCATGTAGCCAGATGGCTCGTAGTTGGACTCAACCTCCTCTCTATGAGGGAAAATTGTCTTCTTAGTATTAGCACTGATTTTAAATGCATCATAATCCAGGCCGAATTTCTCACAAAAAACTCTGATGTCATCGAAATTGTCATTCTCACGTGCACTTCTACGGAAATTGCTGAAGTTTTTATCTCGAATGCAGAGAAGATTCTTAGGTGCAAGATAGCTAATTTTGAAGCATTCTAGTTGACACTCTGCATCCCCAATCCTTACCTTCACTCTTTCAGTTTTGTAGTCGATAATATGGATAATTTCTATGTGGTTCATAATGAAAAAGTTTTCAAAAGACACTATAATTCCGTTGTAGCACTCCAAAAATTGTTCTTGATTGAAAGTATGTCTTCCACGAGATTCATCTAACATAGACTCTCTATTGTATTGGCTGTCATTGGCATTTTCATCATCATAATCAGAGAATATTCCGATAAAATCACTGACTAGAATTTTGCTCCTGATATCGTAATTTATTGGGTTATGAGTCACATTTTGCTTCACACTGTAATCTTTCTTAAAAATGTATTCACACATGATCTGGTAAATTTCACTCATGTAACTTCTTTGAAAATGGAGTACTGGAACTCGAGATTGCTTAATAAAATAAGATAATATCTCTTTGCTCCGATCTACCTCCAGAGAGTCCTTCTCTCGCAACGATGGAACATGCACCATCAACTCTATCGCAATGTTGTGTGTCGAGTAGTCTTTGATGTTCTCCAGGTACTCCTGAATGTCTGCACACCCCACATTTCTGTAGTGATTGTTCACATCAGCCAGGTTGTACTGGAATCGTAGAATGCACTCGATCAGCGGAATTCTCATGAACTGTGTTTCGTGCTCGCTCATTGGGTCAGTGGCAATGCTGATGTTCTTGATGAGCCACTCAAGGTAGTTCACTTGCTGGAAGAACTCAATCTTCGACACCCTCAGGCGCAGTCTGCGGTCTGCTCTGCTGAAGTTGCGTTCTTTGTACACAAGCACTTCATTGTTTTCGAGTACAACGCTGAGCTTGCCGTGGTACCGGTATCGCAACAAGTCAAGTGGTGTGAAGCCCAGGGCGATCTTGTAGTTCTGTGGGAACGAGTCACACAAGTCTGCGAACTGCCACCGGTTGAAGAACCAGCTGAGGTCGTACATCATGAGCAGTGTGTCATGGCCTTGCACATTCACTCTGAAGTGAGAAGTTGATATCTGCGCATCATAGAAATTCTTAGGAAGCAGTCGCCGAAGCTTGGTCCTCTGCGAGTACCTCTCGAAGACCATTTCGTCGTACATCAGGATGAACTCGGAGTCATCATCGTGATTAAGCAGCGCTTCGATGAACTTGGTGCTGAGTCTCAATCCACTGATTTGCACAAGAGGCTCTTTGAGGTTGCGGAGGCCAACCTGGAAATCATCCATTTCGAGCTTGATGTTCATGGCATTGATGTAATCAAAAGTGTCCATGGTGACATATTCGTGAGCTTCATCAAGTTCTTTGATGAGTTTGACACAGTAGCGTTTATCTTTGTACTTCTTTGGACTTTGATACTCGAACTTGAAGTTTGTAGCCACTAAAATACATTATCCAAATTTTCATAAAGTATTTTGGTTCAAAATTAAAAATATATGGGAAAATTTTAGCAGCATAACTTACTGATTTGGATATAATGCTCCTGTACTCTTTTTGTCTTCAGTTTTCTTCTAGTTTCATGCAAAATTCTCTTATCGCAATAAAATAAATTTCTCTCCTTAAGAGCAGTAATAATCTCATTTTGGTAAATGAGGCATTTTGAGACAGGCTTATCCTCCCCGATGCACCTGAAAGTTTCCTTTATGTTAATACTGAGACTAAAGTCCCTTGGAGCAGTCTTTTCCTTAGGAGGTTTCTCTGGCAGCTTAATTCTGTTCCTAATCTTGTAGTCCTTATATGATAACTTATGCCACCTAATTTGAAATTTTATTTGCTTTATCAGAGCCTTAATTAGAGCCCCATAGTGAACATGGTTCGGTACATACATGTCTCAGTCAGTACATGAGAACCAGAGCCCTAGAGACTTCTTGTTCATGACGAATAGGTAGTGGAAGTCCTTTACAGTCAAGATGTTATCCACTTGTTTAGTAAATTCTTTCTTGGGGTTCTCAGGTTTCTCAGACAAATCTATTTCATGTGGATTTTTCTCGATTTTCTTATCCTTAATATGAGTGACAGTAAGCATAGAGCACTTGTAGTGCATAGATCCGTCACTGAGATTGCTCCAAGCTTTGCCAGTATCCAGAGTTTCGATATTCATTGCGGTGAATTTGAGGTAGCGGCGGCCGCCAAGCAACCAATCTATTATGAGCTCGTCTCCTCTAAGTTCTAGCTTCTCAGTGTACATATGTTTCTTTTTGAGCTTATACAGAATATTCTGCCTCTTGAAATATTTTGAGATTAAGGCAAGGTCATTGAGATCTTTCTCTGTGCATAGCAGGAAATCACAGTTATAAAAGAAGTCTAGAACATTGAACTCAACGTAGAATTGCCTAGGGAGTACATCAGCAAATCTGTTGTCTCTAATCTCCTGATATTTCAAGCCATGAGTCTTCAGGTAGTTCTGTCTAAGTCTTGGAGACATGAGGGAGACGCTTGAGAACAAGTGCGAAGCATTGATGATTTCATTAGACTGCAGCAAATTCATCTCGTAGTCATCTACTTTGATATTGATAATATTATTCTCATCTTTAGTGAAAATCTTACACTCCGATTTAGCAACATGGATATCTACCTTAATGTCAGATGGGATTCTGGTCTCATACAGATAATTCTCATTCTCTAACTCAAATTCTTGCTTGAGTAAATTTTCCTGAAGGAAATCCGAGTTGATCACTCTCTTCATGAGGTCATTCTTAACATTAGCTTCCTTCTTCATCTTTCTGTATAGCTGATCGAAGATCATGACCCACATGAAGAGATTAGTCGAAAGATTTACCTTAACATTTTTGATGCTACAGTCCATTATTGACTCCAGCTTCATCTCTTTAAGAGCTTGGACCCTCTTTCTCAGCCTTTTCTTGAAGATGATCATCAGCTCTAGCTTGAAGTCGGTTACCTGAATGCATTGTAGCTGGTTGACCTCCCCAGTTAGCGTGTTCGTGGTCAAGTTCATTGCATATGATTTCTTCATTGTGTTGAACAACATCTCAAATGAAATAGGGCCCGAGTTAAGACTAATCTTCTCAAATGGACTCCTGATCTTCATAATCGAGGTCAGTGGGTGCTCAGGGTAGTACAGATTCACACTCAGACTCTCATGAATAGTAGCAGTGATGTTCTTTGGGATATCAAGATTCTTAAAATTTTCAAAATTAAGAGTATTCCTCTCTTTCTCTTCTTCAATGATATCCTTCAAAAAGTGTAGTTTGATCAGCAACTTCCTTGTCCTCTTAATGACGTTCTCGATGGTATCGAGGTACATAAAGAATCTACATGCTCTAAGAAGGAAATCATTGTTCATGTTGATCAAGCCTTTTTGGCAATCGATGTTAATTCACCAGTTGCACAAATTCTTCATTTCTGATGCTTCCAGAGGGATAGTGAAGGTCAGACTCACAGTTTCAGCAATACTCAGGTTGTTCGGGAAGCTGACGTTCGTAGCAGTTACAGTATCTGCACTTGCTTTCACAATCATCTGGTTGTTCGTGCTTTGGGAGATATCGATTACTACATCCTGTACGTTTATTCAGAAGCATTCTCTGTCCTTGCAGTAGAGAGTGCTGTCAACTTTCTCGTTGAAAAACTCCTGGATATCAGTAGAGGAGATGTTCAAACTTTCGTCCTTCAACAGTAAGAATTTTGCCTTCCCATCAAAGATTTTTAAGTCAAGCGAGTAGATCAACCTTGAGATCAGCCTTGACATGAAGGGCTTTTTAATTTCAATGTTATCTAAATTTCTGGTTGGCTCTCTATCTAAAGATCTTGTTGAGGAATGTCTAGTTTCTATCCCAGCTGGAGATTGTCTATTAGTTCGTTCAAAACCAGGAGTTTCCTTTGTCTCTTCCCTACCAACATCGAATTGGTTGTCATCAGCATTTTCAAAGGAATTTTCGCGGTCAGTGTCAGGGTCAAAAATCCTTTTGCGTACAAGAATTGCCTTAATCTCTTCGAGCATGTGCAAAAGTTGCAATTTCTTGCTTTGCCACTCATCGAACTGGTTGATCACCACAAAGACCAGGTCAAGACCCTGAATCTGGACCGAAATGGGCCTGATCCCTTTAAAAAGGGAGACTTTAATGTTCTTGATGCGTATCAGCATGTTAAAGTTAAGATGAATTGGGACATTCAGCATTATATCTGAGTAACTGAAGAAGCTCTTAATACTTATCCTGAAGTCAAACCTCCACAGCAGCAGCTGCAGTATGAAGCATACTATGTAGGGGATGGAACACAGGATGGCAAATAGGAGCAGCCAATACCATGTTAGAAATATCATATTTATTATTATACAATGTTAAGCCATCTTGCTGGGGTTTTGGGGTTTTGGGGTTTTGGGGTTTTGGGG